AGCACGGCCTTAAACTTTAACAATAGCAGTTGGCGCGTGTGTCTCGCCGTACGGAGGAAAACCTCAAAAGTATTTCAAACAGAACGTTGCCAGAGCTTCGAGCACACTATTTGTACTTAAAACAGATCCATATATTGTTGTTGTTGTGTGTGTGAGTGTGTGTGTGTGTGTGCCAGCGTTTATACTGCTTACAGTTAGATAGATAAACATTTTAGCCAAAAGAGTTGCAGCAGCAGGCGAACGTCTGGAACAAAGATTGGAATTGTAGCTTAGGGAAGGGGGCAGGGGGCAGGAGCTGGGTGGCTGCCACATTGTGTGTGACTCGCTGCGGATGCATAATGTGCCAGGGAAAAGAAAGAAAATAGCGCCACTGCCGGGCAGAGCAATGCAGCATATGCTCCAATATGCAGCAGGAGCAGGAACGTAGTCAAGGGGGATCCGCATGCGATGATAGACATAGCTCATTATATGTCGTATTAGCGCAAGTTCATGTTAAAGAGAGCATTCGCCAGCCCGAACCCCTTTCGCTGGCGCCACTGTGCGCAACGCACAACTAACTATTATCACAAGATAAATGCCAGTGCCTCGCATAACTAAGACTTAGCCAGAGACAACGAGGATGCTGCAGCTGCAGCTGCTGCGGAACATAACTGCTAAGCCGACAGACAGCCAGACAGCCAGAGAGACAGAGAGCCAGGGAGCCAGGCAGGATAAGGCCATGTTTGAACAGAAAGGAGGAAAAACTGGCAGGCAACAGCAAAAGGGGGGCGGCAGCAGGAGCAGCAACCTGCATTGATAGTGGCATCTGCTGCACGCTGAAGCCTTTTCGCCAAGCTGAGCAAGGCGAAGCCATAACGCCGCCTTGGCATTTTAATAGAGCAAATTTCAGTGAGCAAAAATGCGTGGAGAGTGCAGAGTGGAGAGCTCTACCAGCTACTGCTAGCCCATCAAGTCCCGCCCCTTGCCTGGTAATAAAACTTCCAAATGAAGTTTGGGAAACTTTTTAAACGCCTCGTGCCATATGCCGGCAAAGCTTTGCGGGAGTAAGAATTAATTTTTAGCCAAAGCAAACATTGTAGAGAAAACAAAATATATGTATGTATAGGATATGTATAGGAGACACAGCAGCCACTGCAACAGTTTTAATATAAACCGAAACGTTTTAAGCCACAAATTCTGATGCCAAAATGATTCGCTTCGAGCGGAGCAGCTCGAGCAGCCCGAGCAGCTGCTGCTGGCCCCGACTAGAGCAAAAATTATTTATTTAACTTATTAACAAAAACTCAATTCAGCTGGTAAGCCGAGCCACAGACCGAATTTCTTAGAATCGTTTGCAGAGCAGCGAAACAGAATTTACTATGAAATTTTCAACTTGTCTGTCTGTCTGTCTGTCTGACTGCCGGGCGATTTTTAATGGCGTTGGCTAAGTATTTCGATGAGGCGGAATGGGCGCGGCTCTACGCACTTGTTATGCGGCAAACAAGAAAGCCGTAGGAGGCACCGAAATGATGATGATGACGCCTACAACGTGGCACACGCCCACAAAAGAACGCCCCCACACCCCACACCCACGCAACCACACACCCACACGAACGGCCGGGCGCAGCATCTTCAGTTTCATCCGAATGCTAAATGGCCCCAAAGGACCTTGCGCGCAGTATAAGGACGCAGCTCGGCCAGCTTTTTGCAAATTTACGATTATGATTATTACAAGTCAACGTTTTTTTCTTCAGCTTCAGCTTCGCTGAGGGTTGGCCAACAGAGCGTGTGTGTGTGTGTGTATGTGTGTGTAGGTGGGTGGTTGGCTTGTGCTTGTGTGTAGGTGTGTATTCACAGTTTGGCATTTGGACAGCTGCTCCGGGAAAGAAGTGCAAAGAATGCGTCAAAGTATTTTAGCACTTTAGCAGTGTGGGGCGCTACGAGGGCCAGGGGAGGGTGGTTCGCAGAATCCACAGGGCTAACAAAATGTACAACAAAACTTGGGCAAAAGTTATTACAACTCTAGGCACTGATGGAGGCGGGGTATGCGCTATGTCTTACCGCATCTTGGCGGTAAGAGGCATTGACCTCCAGCAGGAGCAGAAGCAGCATCAGCAGGAGCAGGAGCAGGAGCTTGTAGCCCTTGGAAATCCGCAAATTCCATGGGGCATAATAAACGTAAGATAAAAGTCAAAAAGGGACAAAAATTATATAATAAACTGTACGCCAAGTGAAATTATTGTATTTTGTTTCATGCAGACAGACAGACAAAGAGAGAGAGAGACAGAAAGAGTGAGAGGGAGAGGGGGAGCTGGAGTTGTTCTTCAATTTGATGTAACTACAATAAAAATTTTGATGAGCTGCAGTTGCTGTGTCGACGGCTTATAAATTTAATACCCTTCCAGAAGGATAATAAGACTTGAGCTTTAAATATGAAGGAAAATATCAAATTGAATAACAAAATAAACGAAATGAGATTTAAGCACAATAATTAGATTTAAGCAAAGCTGAGACTAGTTAAAGAGTTTTCTTTTTTCTTCTTTCTCTTAATATATCAAAATGCCTCTGCTTCTCAAGCTGTTGCTCTAGCTCTAACTCTTCTTCTGTAACTCTCCTGCCGCGGCTCATATTTCAAAGGGGCAACTCCGACGGGCTGGCTGTGTAGGGTATTCAATAACTGTCATGCTTTAGTCAAATGCTTAAACCAAAAACTTTGTTATGCGAGACATTTTACATTTTGATATCGCTCTGCCACTCGCACAACAACAACAACAACAAAAGTTTTTTGGTGGCCCGGGCTAGGGGCTGGGCTTTGGACACACCTACACACACACACACACTCACACACACTCTTACACGCGCACACACATAAATAAAAGGTATAACAATAACTCAGCCAAGCTGCAGAGCGCGTTGCTCTTGCTTATCAAGTTGGGCGCATCGAATGCTGTACAACAGAAAGAACAACAACAACAAAAACAACAATAATAACAAGAGTGTGTGTGTGTGTGTGTATACAACAAGGAAGAAGAAGAAGCAGATGATGAAAAAATACCAAAACACTAAAATACCAAATCATAAAAGCATGACGATGAGCAATTTACAAAAGCCAAATACTGCCGCAGAATGAGATTCAAATCAAGAATCAAGAACGTGCGCCAGTTGAGAACCTTCAGCCTTTGCCTCGATTTAGGTAACTACAGTTGATATAGTCGGTAAATATATATGTACATATATATATGTGCACCTATATGTATATTTGAGGTGCGTTTGTAAAAACAACAACTTAATGATTAATGATGCGCCTGCTTTTGTCCGCTTAGGCCGCATTTCTCCCTCTCTCTCTCTCTCTCTCTCTCTCTCTCTCTCTCTCTCTCTCTCTCTCTCTCTCTCTCTCTCCCTCTTCAGTTTCAATTGAGAATTAAGAATTGAGAATTCGAGAAATCGAGAATTGAATTTGTTTGGGGTATCTCCCTTTCAACTTGAGCTTTGATTGCTCGCGCACTTGTGTTTGGGTTCCCCAATTTTCCAGCCGCTTTCTAAGCGTAATCACTTTGTCATTGCCATCATTTTTCAGCATCAATTGTTGCAGCCGGGCAACATAAATTCACTTTTCACAGAGACACACAGACACATGGACTGTCTAATGGAATTGAGAGATAGAGACAGAGAGACGGACAGATAGTTGGGACAGACCGTAAGCCCAGCCAAGTTGTCTGCATTTGCCCTTTTGGGCGCATCGCCCTGTCAGACTGAATGGTCCAAGTCCAAGTGCAACATATGGACATATAACGAGTCGATAGGTCTCGTCTCGTCTCGGCTCGGCTCGTCTCTTGTCTCAGTTGTCTGTTGTCTCTTGTGTCTTGTGTCTCTTTCTAGTTTTGAAGTGGACTTCCCTGGAATTGGCTTTGAAATGCCACAGTCAAAGCTTCGCCAGACCAGTCGAGTCAGACAGTGAGACAGTGAGACAGTCAGCCAGTCAGCGAGTCAGCCTTTCATCTGCCGCCACGCAGATACAACAGATGCAGCCCCACAGCATCTGCCAAACTGAAACATAGAACAAAAGATCAAAGCTGAGAGCTGAGCGAACTCGCTTTCGTCTCTCTAACAAGCCCCAACTGATGCTCGTTTGCTTATTGCTGTGCATAATCGCAAATGTTACGCTAAATGCATTGCATCGATCCGTGATCCATCTCCGAGCCCTAATGGGAGCGTGCAACGAATTGTGGTAGGCAAATGTCTAGCTGCAACTTAGCGCCTAGTTATGAAGGCAGCCTGCCCCGCTGCCCCGCTGCCTCACTGCCTGGCTGCCTGCCTGCCTCTGACAGCGAATTGATTGAGATACAACAATGTAGCCCTCTCCCTCACACTTGCCCTTCCTCTCTCCCTCACTCTCTCACTCAATGTACTCTTTGTACGCTTTGGCATCCTGTGGAGAGTTTGATGGAAACTCTTTAAAAAGAAATTAAGCCAGGAATATAAGTGAAGATGAAGGTGTTTAAATCGAGAAGGGGCGTGGCATAATAAGGGCTAATAATGTTGAGCCATGAGGGATTTGAGGATGTTAATTATCTTTGAGACATGAATTATATGATATGAATTATATGATTAGGATAGAGGCTTTATGTGGAAATGAAGTAACTTTTACCTATATATAATAATTAATTATATAAATCTTGATCCAAATATGAATACTGAGAATTCTACAAGTGAATATTACACTATTTCATATTTAACTATCATATCTCCCTATGTATTCATATTTCAATACATATAATACTGCCTATACCAATGCCATTCTACATCCAACTTAAGTTTTTGATATCAAACTAGTCTGATGGTAAATCTGCATATAAGCAAACTCACATCCATTTACAAACTTCCAGTGAATCTCTCACTGCAATAATACGCTCAATTACCTCTTTAATCTATTTATAGAGCCCCCTTGGTATAACTAGTGCCTGCTAGAAACTTGGCTGCACTTTTAATAACAGTACTTGCAGCAAGTCTATAAAACTTACCTAGTTGTTGCTCCCGTAGTTGTTGTTGTTGCTTTTGCTGTTGCTGTTGCCTGTCCGACTTGGCCAATTAGACTGTTTTGCCCCGTGTGTTTTTTTGTTTTGTTTATTTTACCAATTGGAATGTTCACCTGCTGACGCGTTGTTGATTCGTCCTTTCTTTCTTTCGTACTTGTTGTAMACGTAATCCCAAGACTTGGCTTAGTGTTTGCAAGGATAACGGTAATTAAACCGCAGCCTGGCCCGTACAAGGGGTCGCCATTGCATGCTTAGCACAAAATCGTCTTCTTCTTTCTGCTGTTGTTGTTGCCGTTGTTGGTTGTTTCTAGTTGCTGTTGTTGTTGTTGTTGTGGTTGTTGTGGTTGTCGTTAGGTTATTGGCCGCGCCGCTTAGGTTGACACTTTTCAAACTTTTTCTTTTGGTTAGTTAAACAACTTTTTTGCCAGCACTTGGCAAAGACACTCGCACACTCGCACACACACACAGGCATGCACATACACCTGCATACACATATATAGATGCACTTCCAGTATGCGCTAATTTTTTGCTGCTTTGCTTGCTTTACACTTTTTGCTTGGTCCGCGTTGTAAATCTTTGCGCGTTGTTGTTGTTGTTGTTGCAGTTGTTGTTGTTTTAAAGAAATTCTTTTGCTCAATGGCAAAATGTTTGGACGACGTCTTCGTCGGCTGTTGTTTTTTTTTTTTTTTTTTTTTTTTTTTTTTTTTTTTTTTTTTTTTTTTTTTTTTTTTTTTTTTTTTTTTTTATTTTTTTTTTTTTTTTTTGCCGGATCTGACTCTGCGAGTCGCTCCTCACCTGGCGCTCTGGCTCGGTGGCTGCGGCTCTTCCGCAGAAACAAGCTTCCAAGCAGGTTGCAATGTTGCAAGCAGGATAGAAGGGGCGCGCCTGCTGTGGGGCTTGGGGAGCAGACCAACGAGAGAGGGAGAGAGAGATATATAGAGAAGGGGGGCGGGGCAGCTGCGTCGGCGACGGTGGTTACAGCTACAATCTGCAATCTGTTTGTGGCATTAAATCAGTGAACCAAGACGCGCAGCCAGATTTGTTTATGCGGCCTTTCAACGTTTGCCAACCAGCCAGCCTTGCAGCTTTGCAGCTTTGCAACTTGGCTCGTTGCAAGCGATGCAAATTTGTACAACAAATCAGCACTTACAGCTCAATTAACGCGAATTTCGGCACACAGACACACGCACTGCCACTGAGATCGCTATGGATCACCAATGATTTGAGAGGATTTACAGGGTATTTATTTAAGCACACTCACACACAGATACACTGAAACCGAAGCACTTGAATGGCTTGAAATATAAAGCTAATCGCAGTTGTTGTTGTTATTTACTTTTCGATTTATTTATTTATGTTGCTGTTGTTGTTATTGTTGTTTAGCGTACGCGCGCCGCTGTTGTGGGTCGCTACGTTCCGAACCGGTTATAGGAATTGCCTTAATTCGTGTTATATTGTCCGGCTTTCAGTACCGCACGCCTCGACGATTCAGAGTGAACAGAACAAGTTGCGAGTTCGAGCCGCGACTGCGGCGTCGACGCATCACTTGGCCGGCCACTCAATGGAGATACCTTGGCTATATCTAGCTGTAGGCCTCTGTGGCCAACCGCCAACATCCAACTCGAACATGTTGCAAGCACCGGCGGAACGTTTCGGCAATGAAACACTCAAACAGCCGTTCGTTCGTTCGTTCGTTCGTTCGTTCGCCTGCTTTGAGCATTTCTTTGAGCGCTTCGTTGGTGTGTGTGTAGGTGTGTGTGTGTGTGTGTGAGTGAGTCCAATCGGACGAGCAACTGGCGGCAACTCGGTCAGGTGTTAGAGCCGTGACCGCTGAGGCTGCCGCTGCCGCTGCTGCTGCTGCTGCCACTGCAGTTGCTGCCGCGTCTAATTGTGAATGATTTATGTGGGTCGCAATTCTTTTGGCCTCCAGAAGAAAGTGAGCTGCAATGAACTTTCGGCCAAATTGAAATGAATCTGAAGAGAGATGCAGACGAAGGAATGCAAATAACGAATCCTTGTAGGTCATTGGCTTGGTCAAGAACAAAGGCTGGGCAGCATGACTCAGCTGACTATGACTCTATGGGCAAGTGGGCAAGTCTGGCGAGTCGCGTAGGCGTCCACCGGGAGTTGCCAGCTGGAGTGCACCTGCTCGCTGCTATGCAAAGTTTGCCGACTCTCTCAGCTGGCCCGCCATAGAATATTCAATGCGAAGAGCTCGTTTCGTTTCATCTGGTCTAATGTGCAAAGTTGATAGTTGGCGGTGCTCAAACTGCAGGCGAGCGTTGTGGCCAAAGGTGGGGCATTAAGGTGCATTAAGTTGCAGGCTTATAAATGCATAAACGACTCCATTAAAAAGTCCTCAACAGCAACGGCTAAATTAAGTGCACAAAGTTGAACTAATTCCCATTTAAGAGCGATGTAGTTAAAGCTGACTGCGTTTTCATTATATATCAGATATAGAAACGCGTCTCTCACTCTCTCTCTCTCTCTCTCTCTCTCTCTCTCTCTCACTGTGCTCTGCAATGCTCAGGCACTAACTCAAATACTTTCGATGGCGTTGCATGGCAACTGCGACGGAGTTGGACAAACCGGCTGACACTCAGCGCTAGACAAGTTCAATGCCATGGATGGGCATCAAAGCAATTGCAGTTCCTGCTGCTCCGCCTGCTCCTGCTCCTGCTCCTGAGCTCAGCTACATCTGACAGCCACAAGACGTCGACGTCGACGTAGACATTCTCGAATGCCCGCCAGAGCCTTCGAATGATTTATGAGAAATGGCAAAGCGCGCCCCACTCCCTGCCCCAGCAGAGCTGCGAGAAGGTGGAGCAGCACCCAAAGACAAACAATTGACATTTGATGGATGCGTAACTCGTGCATTCAAATGCACGGGACGAACATCGATTGGACAGGCAACTGGACGCCACTGCTGGCAGCTTGTCGCAGGCGTCGGCTAATTGTTATTGATAATCGCCTCATCGCTTTTATGTCTCTGTTCGATTCTCGTGTAATTGCCACGTTTAATTAGTCAATGGACCACTCCACTCCTCAACTGTTTGAGTTGAATTATGTTTTGGCATACTCATTGTCTGTCTGTCTGTCCGGCTGTCTGGCGGCTGCCTTGTGGCTGGCCAAATCACGGCTCCATCCTGCGCCTAACAGCAAAACAAACTTCTCTATTATTGATTTATACCTTTCAACGATTCTCTGTATTTATCATGAGTGCAAGCCACATTTATCATTAATAATGCCTCCACAGCAGCAGCAGCGGCAGCCACAACCACAGCAGCGGCAGCCACAACCACAGCAGCGGCAGCCGCAGTAGTAGCCCAAACGAGCAGCAGCGGCTGCCCCAAGCATCCGCATCTAGGCAGCTGCTTGATTCTAAGCGGGCACACTGGGGCAAGGCATTGTGATATGAGCTGAAAATCAGATTTAATAATAAAATTGAAGAGATAATTCTTATGGGAGCACAAAGAACTTTTTTATAATTAAAATAAAATTAA